ACTCTCCCCACATCTCCCCACATCTCCAGCACGTGCGCCGCCATCCTGGCTACGGCTCGCTCGCCGCACCCCCTACCAACCCCGGTACTCGAATCCAACTACGCAGGTGCGCCGCGATCCTCGCCACTCTGCGCAAGCGCAAGGCCGCCGGCTCATCTCCCCCGCCCGTACCCTACCGACCCCGGTACCCGAATCCAAGGAGCATCAAAGTAGGACGCGGACTGGTTCGCCGAGCCGGTGCCGGCCGACACGCCAGGCCACCTCGAGATGGTCCGGTCGGATGCCTCACGAGTGTGTCCGCAACGAGCGATTCATTGTACTCCTCCCAGGCTACCTCGAGATGGTCCGGTCGGATGCCTCACGAGTTGCGTCCGCAACGAGCAATTAATTAGTCCTCCAGGCCACCTCGAGATGGTCCGGTCGGATGCCTCGCGAGTTGCGTCTGACGAGCGGTTCATTGTACTCCTCCCAGGCTACCTCGAGATGATCAAGTCACCGATGGAACCCGCCCCTAGAAGCCTCAGACGCACTCTTCCATACTCTTCCATAGTCTTCCATACTCTTCCATACTCTTCCATACTCTTCCCATACTCTTCCATACTCTTCCCATACTCTTCCCATACTCTTCCCATACTCTTCCATACTCTTCCCATACTCTTCCCATACTCTTCCCATAGTCCCCCAACTGCCGCTCGAGAGGACGCGTACCCAACTTGCACTCCGCCGCACCCCGCCGCATTCGCTGTATTCGTGAATGCGCAAGGGTGCTCCGCCGCAGCCCGCCGCAGCCCGCCGCACCCCGCCGCAGCCCGTTGCATCCCGTTGTATCCGCTGTATCCGCTGCACACATACACATGCACATGCACATGCACATGCACATGCACATGCACATGCACATGCACATGCACATGCACATGCACAGGCACAGGCACAGGCACAGGCACAGGCACAGGCACAGGCACATGCACATGCACATGCACATGCACATGCACATGCACATGCACATGCACATGCACATGCACATGCACATGCACATGCACATGCACATGCACATGCACATGCACATGCACATGCACATGCACATGCACATGCACATGCACATGCACATGCACATGCACATGCAAATGCACATGCACATGCACATGCACATGCACATGCACATGCACATGCACATGCACATGCACATGCACATGCACA